AATGTTAGCCTTAACATTTTAAGAAAAGGAATGGAATATTGGAGTGATTCCAGAGGAGAGTAATAATTGGTTTTCTTCTCAAAGAAAATTGTGGAGAGTGGCATGGAATATACAAGGGGAGAATATCTGTATGTAGTATTGTATATAGTCATTAGTTTTTTGTTCTTTGGGGGTGTGGGGAGAAGGGAGGGCCGCACAGTTTCTTTTTGCTACATGTGTGTTAGAGCTTTCTCCTCTGAATTTTCTTACCAGGCCTCATTCTCCCAGCTGGTAATTGATGACCAATTCAGAATCTCTGGAGCTGGTCCAATCCCCAGTCCAGCATGGATCTCTCATCTGCCCAGATTTCTGAGTAGAAAATTATTATCCTCTACCCTCAAGGAAGAGAATAGCAAAACATCAACAATAATCATAGTTTTTTTGTTTCTGCAGCACTTTATGGTCACAATGCACTTTCACATATATCATCTCATCTGATGCAGCACATCTGGGAGTTAGGTAGTTAAGTGTCCATTATCTCCACTTTAAATATGGGAACTGAAGATCAGAATGCTTAAATCAGAGGACCTAGTTTCAAATCCAAATTCAAATGGCCACTTCTCCCTCTGTAATTTTTTTTGGGGGGGCGAGGCAGTTGGGGTTAAGTGACTTGCCCAGGGTCGCATAGCTCGTAAAGGTCTGAGGCTAGATTTGAACTCAGGAAGTTGAGTTTTCCTGACTCCAAGCCTTGTACTCTATAAACTACACCACTTAGCTGCCCAAAATATTCTAATTAGTCAATTATAAATATTATAAGATGGCATAATTTGGGGCAACCTTATGTGAGCTATACTTATACACACATACATACATATGTGTGTTTGCTACTGATGGTGTTGGTTTTAGATTATACACTCCTAGATCAGGTCTCTACCATGTTTGTATAATTTCTGATGCAGTTAGCCCAGCACCATCCACAATAGGATCATAGATTTAGAGTTGGAAGGAACCTCAAAAGGTATCAGACTTGACCCCTTCATTTTACAGATCAGGAAATTGAGGCCCAAGTCTTCTGGCTCCAAGCCATTGTTCTTTCTCCTGTACCATGATGTTTCTCACCTTTTCTCAGATGTTAAGTTGATGTTAAGGGCTGCTAGGTAGCACAGCAGGTAGAGCACCGGGCCAGGAGTCAGGAAGACCTGAGTTCAAATCCAACCTCAGACACTTACTAGCTATGTGACCCTGGCCAAGTCACTTCACTCTCTTTGCCTCGGTTTCCTCATCTGCAAAATGAGCTGGAGAAGGAAATGGTAAACCACTCCAGTATCTTTGCCATGAATACCCCAAATGGGATCATGAAGAGTCAGGCATGACTGAAAAACAACTGAACAACAAAGATGATCTTACTCATCTCTACCCCGAAGACATATACTAAGGATGGGCTGATATTATTCCATTGGTGTGATGTTAAATTAGAGTTTGCTATATGTAGTAAGGAACAAAAAAAGACACATATGCACTTACCATTTATTACTTCATCTATTCTAACACATTCTAACTCTTGCGAAGATAAAAAGACAAGGAGAAGAATGTTTGTTGGGGCTGGGTTGAGTTGGGTTGAGTCTTTCACTAGATACTCATGCATGAGGCCCTACAACCTTCTGTAAAATATGGACATGTGAGAAAAGAGAGTAAGGAGATAGTGAGTTTTGGCCTTAGATTGTTTTATGACTTTCTGGGCTTTTTCATATTTTCTTCTCTGAGTCTAGGCTTCTTTTCTGGGATAAAGAGTCATGTTCTTGCAAGCTATAGGGAATTCTCTGAATCCTAAATAGCTGAATTTGTTTTCTTTCCTTGTTCCCTGCACTTGAGAAAGGCAATCTGATCAAACCCATATTTTTTAATTTATGTATTATAGGCATATGGGAGAATAGTTTACAGGCAAAGTACGATTTTTCACCACAAATGTAGGAAAATTGTGGGATTCTTTTTTAATATCGCCTTATCAGTTTCTTTTTTTTTATTACTGATGACTTCATTCTGTTTGAATTCAATGCTTCAGTTTCTTTGGGGTAAACTAATAGATTATGTATGCGATATTTGCACAGCGTTGATTGAATTCATCTGGTGAGTTTGAATGTGGTTCATATATTCACGTAATTGTCAGAAGCCAAGTTGAAATTCAGAACTGTTGCATGATCATTGGATTGGGCATCATATTCATCTCACATTACTCAAGAGTGAGTGAAGCTCTTTTATAATATAGCACTGCCTTTTTTTTCATGTTGGTCTCTGGTTAAAAAAAGGAATATTGGTTTTTTTCTTCTTTTTCTTAAATATTGAGGGAAATTTTTATTGGGGTTTTTTAATAAAATACTGCAGTGAAGCATAGTAGGAAACTATTTACTTGAGGTTTGGTGTGATTTTTTTTTAACTTGTCTAAATAAAAAACAAGGATGTGCAATATCAGAGGTTTGGTTTTTACCAGAGACATAATGGGCTACTAAATTAATAAGCTTTCATTTAAGACCTACTGTTTCCTGAGTACTTTCCTCATTATTTTAGGGAAGGCTTAGAAAATAGAAACTATGGTCCTGCCTTCTTCAAAGTCTTTGTATTCTAGATAGAGAATACTCACCTTTCAAAAGATCTGTAGCCATTATTTCCCCACTATGATTCACAGATATGATTTGCATCCCTTTTTGGCAACACCAAGGTGTTACCAAGTTGGTGGCTTTAATGGGCCTGCTGTGACATTTGTTGTTTAAAAAGTGAATATAGTAGATGCCCTCTCTTTAGCTATTCCCAGCCTCCAGTTCTTGGCTTCTAAAAAAATTCAAATATAAAATTTGCAGGTCTTAATAATATCCATAGCTGAATAGTGCTTTTGGGTTTCAAAGCATTTTTATATGCATTATCTCCTTTCCTCTTAATGAGAAACTATGAGATAGGAAGTGGAGATACCCTATTTGATAGGTGAGGTTACTGAGGCGCAGAAAGTTTAAGTGATTTATTCAAGATCATACAAGCAAGGTTTTCTGATTATCAACTATTTCTACTACCCTAGAGAGGCAGTATGTGGAGGTAAAACCCTGGCCTCAAGAGTCAGTGCACCTGGTGTCCAGTACTTACTCTGACACTAACGATGTGACTTCAGCCATCTTGCAAAGCTTTTCCAGTGGCCTCATCTGTGAAGTGGAGATAGGAATACCAGCACTGACTCCTTCACCAGGCTTCAATGAAAAAAGTGTTTAGTGAACAGACTATGCCAGACATCCCAAAAGTCTTAGTGCAGTTTTAAGGTTTCATGGCTTAAAACTGGCCTGAGACTTTTTGGACACCCAAAAGTTTGTTATTTCTGATGTCATCAGTCTTGTTTTTTGTCCTTTTATGATCCCATCTACCCCTTAAAGGAAGGAAATTCTGTTCCCTCACTCACCTTTGCCTGTTATAACATTTTAATTTCTCCTTCCCATACCTGCCTTATTGTACCTTATACCAGCAACTACTCCCCCCCACCCCATCTTCTGTAATGAATTCTTCCTCTTTGTCTTTAGAGAACCATTAGGGAAAAGCAGAGAAAAAGGCAGGATGGAACTGAATTAAGTAAGCCCTTGGTAGGATGGGGTCTACGTGAAGTACAGGAAAAATGGAGAAGACTGGGCGTGGGTGAGGCGTAGAGACATAAAATAGGGACACATAGTAATACTGATAGTTTCTGCTCTCAGCTTGCCTCACATCCTTCACATGAATGCCACATCTCCTTTCTTAGCCTTACTCTTTACCCCCGAGACTGAAAATTCTCACTAATAAAGACTAAGAGGCAAGGTGGTGTAGGGATTAGAAATAAACCTTGGATTCAGAAAGATAAGAGTTCAAGTTATGCTCTGACATGTACTGGTCCTATGTACCGTCTGCACCAGGCAACTTTCAGGGACTCTGAGGGAGAGGGTATTTCTGGGAGTTCCCTCCATCGATGAAATCACAAGTCCAGACAAAAAAAGAAAGAAAGGACTGTGTGAGGAGTCAGTTTGACTTAACAGATGGAAGTCCAGCCTTGGATTCAGGAAGTCCTACCCTTGACACATACTCCCTTTGCCAAGAAACCCCAAAAGGGGTTATGAAGGGTTGGGCACGACCGAAGACGACTGAACAACAACAAAAGCTGTGTGGTCATGGGCAAATCATTCTCAGTGCCCCCAGTAACTTTCTAAGAGCAACAGTTGCAGGGAGGTTACCGATCTAGTCAACCAACATTTATTAAGCACCTACTATGTGCCAAGCATTGTGCTAACTTCTGACATAAATGGCATAGAAGATAGAGCATTCGACTTGGAGTAAAGAAAATCTAAGTTTGAATCCTGCTTCAGATGTTTGTTAGCTTTGTGACCCCTGAGCAAGTCACTTAAACACCTTCTGCCTCAGTTTCCTCATCTGTAAAATAGGACACCTACCTCCCAGGGAGGTAAGTAGGAATCAAGTGAGATAATACATGTAAAGTGTTTTTGTAAAGTGCTATATGAACATTAATTATGATTAATATCATTAATTATGATTAATATCATTAATTTTAATACTTGTAGTTTCCCAGATGAACGAAATCATAGATCTGAACCTTCTCCCCCCCTAAAAAAATGTGCCTTTATAGATCCACAGGGACTCTTATTTGGAAAAATGAGATAATTGTGCAAAGTAAAATGCATTCAAACTCTATGGTCAGTTATCTGACCATAAGAAAATACATTGAATATTTTAATCCCCATAAGCGGGCAGGGCCTTAACTGAATATACCACTCAAGAAGTATATATAATATGTTAGTCTATTTTTTTCTATTTTTAATTTGCGTAACGATTTTATAGTTTCTCTGGCTTGCTTGAATTGCATTGTGAGGCCTTCTAAATTCACATAGGTCCATCCCTCTAAAATTGTAAACCCTTTTGATAAGTAGATCAAAAACCAAGTCTTCAAGAGTGTTATGCATTTGTATTATCATCTTTCTATGTGATCATTTATTTTCCAGTGGCCGCCACACAACTGGATGTGCTGACCGAATCCAGAAGTTACGGAAGGAATATCATCAGGCCAGACGAGAGGGCTTTTCTTTATATGAAGATGACGAAGCCAGAGCAAGGCCTTCTGATTATGAGCAGCATTGGGTAAGTTTCTGCCTGGTCCTAATTACTGAAGTCTTTTTAAATGTAAAAGTTGCAAAGGCATTGTATTCTTCAAGGAATTTTCCAGTTTCTAGTTGTATCAAGTTAGCTTAGAGATTTAGATTTCATAGACATGGAAATTCTGCAGACAACACCCCTGCCTTCTCATGGAAATTGTTTACATATATCAAACCACACTAATCTACAGTAGCTCCTTCTAATTGCTCTCATATTTAGCCTGCTGCCACCACCATTGAACATATATACTTGTAGATATGGGCAGAGTATATCTCTGCTACTTTAGAATACAAGGAAATTAGTCACTACCTGTTGGATGCTTTAAGTCTTTGCTTTCCATCTCTTGGGTCACAGGGCTTTAGGTAAGCACAAATAGATAATGCAAATAAACCATCCTTTACAGTAAAAATAAAAAAAAAAGATAGATAAATGATTGCTAGAAGTGAACCATCAGAAACTAGTGTCAGGAGTGTGATTTTCAAAAACAGGCATCATTGTTATGCCAGTATTGTATATTGAGATTGTATATTGACTTTTGAACAGTTCACACTGATGATTGCCCCAGTATATTGCAAGAGCCTTTGTTTAGAAGTAAGCAATATTTTTGATCAGAGGGAACTTTCTATGTCTTGTCATTTCAAAACCTTTATCTTTCAAGGGACAGAAAGATTTATCATAAAATTCTAGAAGGATGTCTGCCATAGGTTTAGTTGTATGAAGTGGCAAGGATACCTCTCCTGTCCTTTTCCTCTCCTTCCGTGTAAGTATAGGGTACAACATGGCATTGGGCATCCCAACAGACTTCACCCCACATGAACATGGGGAGCAGAGATGCCAATATTTTAATCATCAAGTCTCTGTTCATAATACCACCGGCACCCCACTTCTTCCAAAATCTCCTCTTTTCCTCCTCCAACCCCAAAGTTTCCTATGTTGTTTTTAATTACAAGGCACTGGTATTCATTGGTGTGATATGATTGATGAGCCCCAAAACACCAGCTTCAGAGGAGCTAAACCTATTGGGCAAGGAGGGAGAAACAAAGGAAATGTTTTCCCCTCTCATTCATTAATAAACAAACTGAAAAGAAAGCAATGTTCTTAAGTAGTAGAGGAAATATAAGCTTTAGGTAAACCACAATCCCAGCCATCATTATTGGTTTACAGTCTGGATAAGGATGAGGATTACATACAAACACAGTCAGTTACAATATGCAATGTTACTTGATAAGCATATTAGAGAGTTTAAAAACAGTGTTTTTGATATCAAAAGATGAAAGTCATTACCAATGGTCAGTGATCAGAGAGAGCTTCATGGTGGCTTCAAGATGGCATTTCTCCACTACTTGAGGAATATAAGGAAATTATTCACTACCTGTTGGATGTAAGTCTTTGCCTTCTACCTCTTGTGTCACAGGGCTTGGGGCAAGCATGAATAGATAATGCAAATAAACCATCCTCACTAAGAAGTGAGAAAAAAAGATAGCTTTATAGGATGGTAAGGATTTAACAGCAAACAAAGGGAACAGGCCTAGGAAATCAAAATCGCAGACTCTCAGATCTAGAAGGGGCCTCTGAGGCCAGCCAGTACAGTCCAGTCCATACTTGAGAGAGAAACTGAGCCCAATGACCTACATGTTTTCCTTTAATTTTTGTATTTATGCTGTACTAACATCATTAAATCAAAATGCTTGCGGTTTGATTTATAGAAGACTAATTTTGACCCCGTGATAGTTATCCAAAGTAAATTCGTTGATTGGATGGGCCTCTGTAAATGATGGGTTAAATAGCTCTTACCATTAAATCAGTTGGTCCTACTAAGGACCAGTGATCTGACCCCAGGTGGTTAGAAAAGGGCTTGGCACGTTCAAATAAATCATAGTTGCTATTAATTTTATTATAAAAAATGTCAGAATTGAACAGGTTTAATTATTTTTTCAGAATAAAGAGCACTTAGGCTCTTGAGGTCTTGCATAGAAAGGCAGATGTAAGGGACAGGCCTGACTCAAGCTGGTCCCCTTTAGGTTTAGATTAGCTGTTGAAACAAGATAATACATTCATAGATCATTTGACTAAGCAAAGGAAGCTTACTAAGGTATAGCACAGAAAAGATATTCAGCAAGGATACTGAAATATTTAGCTTGGGTAGACAGTGCACCCCTCTTGCCTTACCAGTGTTAGCTCAAGTGGTGTTGGGACATCTAACAATTCTGAAGGGCCCAGATCTTTGTGGAGCCTTTTTCATGACTTAAGTAACCAGAAAGCATGCTTGAGTTGGGACCAGCTCATAAACTTAGGAAAGCCGATTGTTAAATTTTCAGTGTGAGCATTGATACCTCAGAAATCAGCAAATGCTATACATCAGGGCTTGATCTATTATTTTATTGATTGTTCAGACTTAAGAAACTGATGAGGATAGTGTTAATAATTCAGGTTAAACTTAAAGTGTGTCATGCATACATTTTTTTTTTCCTTTTCAGAAAGCCAGTTATTAAACATTTACCAGCATACCCTTGCTAGGAAGTTACTCTATCACCATGATGATAGGTAGCCAGGAAGCTGCATCAAGGGAGACATAGCTTTAGCATTGGCCCGTGGTCTCGGAGAAAGCTTTGTCACATTTCAGGGAAAAACTGGGGTGGTGGAAACGTGATGTATGGTGGTCCTCTCACAGACTGGTGAACATTCACTTTAGATCACAGCTTCCTCACTGCCGCAAAAAAAGGAAGGGGGATTGTCACAACACAAGCCTGATCTTGCTTTAAATTAGGGCACATGAGGCGGAAGGTGATTCCCTGAATCGAACGTACCTGTCTCCCACCTTCAACATTTATGCCGGCTCTTCTCCAAGATCAGAGTGCCTGCTCATCTCCACATTTTAGGTACCAACTCTTTCAGAGAACCTTCTCGGAATTTCCCCAGCTAGAAGTCTTCTTTCCAGGCTCAAATTTTCTTAGAGGACATTGTTTAGATCTGTACTTTGCCTCCCTTTCATCCTACTTAGAATCATGTTGATACAAATACATGTCAACAATTAATTAATAGCTAACATTTACATTATACTTCAATGTTTTCACAAATCTTTACATGTTATTTCATTTGATCTCAACAACCCTGTGAGGTAGGTGCTATTATTATCCCCATTTTACAGATGAGAAAACTTAGGCTGTAAAGAGTTTAGTGATTTGCCCAGGATCATATAGCTAAATCAGTGTCTAAAGATGAATTTGAACCTTGAATTCCTTTTGGTTAGTTGTTTCAATCATGTCTGACTCTGTGACCTCATGTGGGCTTCTCTTGGCAAAGATACTGGAGTGGTTTGCTATTTTCTTCTCCAGCTCATTTTACAGATGAGCAAACTAAGGTAAGGAGGGTTAAGTGGCTTGCCCAAGGTCACACAACTAGTAAGTATCTAGGGTCAGATTTGAATTCAGGTACTCCTGGCTCCAGGAATAGCACTCTATCCGCTACACCACCTATTCAAACTCTTAATCCACTTTAAGTCTAAAGAACTCTATCCATGTTTTACTTTACTTCAATCATTCGCTCAGTTGTATGCAGCTACTTCTTGGAGAGCAAAGATTGTGATCTATTTGCTTTTGTGTTCTTCCCCCTCAATGCCTAACCCAGGCATTTGGTGATTAATAAATATTAGAAGGTAAGCTCCTTGAGAGTAGGTCTTTGTCTTTGTAGCAATGGATGGAAAAAAAATATTTGTTGATTGGCTGATTGATGAGTGTATAAGAGGGCAAACAAAGTAATGGATAAAGAAAAGGCCCTGTGTGTGTGTGTGTGTGTGTGTGTGTGTTTCCCATGCTTTGAGCACTTTGAATTTTGCCAAGAGTGACCAGTGTTTCCGTTTCAAGGAAAATAAGTTTCTTTGGCCAGCTGGATTCTAAGACCTTGCATCCTCACACCAGAAAGCTCACTGTCATAAAAGAAGAAGAGTGTTCATTGTGCTGGAGGTTTTCCAATGTGCATCTTTGAAATCACAGGCTCTCTTTCCCCCTCCTCTTCCCAAGCCAAAGAAAAGCATTCTTACCTTCTGCCCAAGAATAAAAAAACAAGCCTGGGAAACTTGACCACAATGGTGCAACCCTCAGGGTCTGCCAATGCTCTGCTTGGACCTCTTGCAGAGGCCTGGGGGGTGGGTGGTGGCAGAGGATATGAGAATTCACATTTCATTCCTGTCAGTCAAATCCTTCCAATAAGGCAGGACTTTGGGAGCCAAGTATGGTCACTTTTGAAGAATACTAAACCTTCCAAGTTATCTGATAAATAAACATCATCAAAATACACCTTTTTTGAGCAGGCACCACCCACTGCATCTCTGTGGCCCTAGGAATGGGCACTGATTTTTGTCTGAAAGCTCCTGAGGCCAATTTCCATCTAATTAAGATGACTCGCAACTGTCCTTTTGCTGACACCATAACACAACAGAATCTCTGATATCCTGGCTGGGGCAGGGGGAGAGGAAGGAATTATCTCACAATGTACTTTTTAAAAAATAGTATAAATCAAGTTAAAGTACCCAGCAGGCTTAAAAGCCAGTATTGTGAGAAAAAGTGATCTCATGACAGGCAATTGGGATCCATAAATGTTTTAAAATAAGGTCAAAAATTCATTTTAAATAAGGCTCTATTCTTCATATATCCCTCCCCGGGTTTTTCATTTTTTTCCTTGGGTCTTCTTCTCTGTTGTTTTCTATACATTTCTTCACCAGGAACTCACCCCTTCTCATCTCTAATTCTTCCACTGGCTCTCTGTTCAAATTCTGTGATGCCTTTTTTTTTCTTTTTCTAAGGAGCCCCTGAATTATTCAATTCACTCTTTTAAAGTAGATAAATACACGCAGATTGCAGTGTTTGTAAAATCTCACTTGAAACTTCAAGATTCTTTTCAGTTGGTCTGTTGGAGAGTTTGTTGTTTCATTGTTGGTTTTTTTCGCCTGCTGTTTTCCTGTCTGTGAAAAGCTACGGAGCCAAAGT